TTGGGTGCAACAAGAAGATGTTTGACTGTCCAGTTCGACACAGGAGAAGCTGTTTGAATGTTATGCCTGGAATGCCTTTGGACCTGCTGACGGACAGATGACGTGACGACCACTTGCTTTTGAGCATGATTCTCGCAGTCACTGCACGCGGGGCGCTGGTCATGTCTATAGCTTTCAGCACTTTTTTCCGCTGCGCGAAAGCTGGGGCATGTCATTTTGCTGATTGAATTTTTTGATCGGGCATGACATGAAACGGAAAGTGGAACCAAACATAGCTCAGGGATGGAAACCAGAATGCTTAAAGCCAGTTCAGAATGCGTTTCATGCCTTCGGGGCCTTGGTAGACTCGACATCCAGACAGTTTTGCTCCAAACATGTGTTCTACCCAAAGGTGTTCTGGAAGCAGTCCGACGTGCTTTCATCAACGGCTGACTCTAACCTACAGTATATACTTTGTTGGCCCAAGTATGCCTTTTTTGCAATGGCGCCAGGATTGATTCTGGCCCCAAAACATGAGCCAGAGTATGCTAGAAAAAATGGACATTGATGGACATTGATTCCATTGATGCGTTTACTTTTAGGACAAAACTGGTTGTCTTCGGCTAGTGCATGCTAGTGCCCCCAGTTTGCCCAAAACAGACCAGAAGGTCTCATCTCATTTCTCCTCAGTGGCGAGTATCAGGAATCAGTATAATGTACTGTACCATTTTTCTTTGGGTGTGGCTGTCAGATTGTTTGAGTTCCTTTGCCAAAGCTTGTTAGTAGATGCCCTCGCAATGAGGGAGATTTTCTCAGACCCCTGGCTTCGCGCTCCAGATCAGCGTTCAAACCCGCAGGATCGGAAGCGATCGGCGTGGGGGGTTTAGATCATTCTAGAATATTCTATATATATATACACATGACATTATGACATTGGGATTCTAGATTATTGGGATTGTCCATGATTGCCCCCACTTTGTGACAGTCAAAGGCTGGTGCCAACTGGAAGACATCAGCAACCATTCGTCAGTGACAAATGGGGTTCGTTCAGCCTGTTCGTTCGACGGACTATAGACCGTACGGTCAGTGAGCCGTAGTTCACAGCAGACTTCTCCACAACGTAGGCTTTCAATCCTGCACGACTTGGGACGGATATGACCAAAGGCCTTTGGCAGTCAGACAGCCGTGACCATGTCTGACGCTTTCACCACGTGTCAAAAAGCTGGAGTCCATCAGGGAGTGGCACAAATTAGTTGTGAAGTTGTGAAGGAACGTAATAGTTTAAAAGATGGGACCTGATGGGACCTAGGATGTCCAATCGGACATCCCACTCTTAGCCAAGCTATGTCAAGTTACGTCAGTCTCCATGACATATTTCCACTTCGCTCACTTTTGCTCGGGGAATGTTCACGGCAACTCAGGCTCGACACAGCGAGACGGCCTTTGCCTTGGAATTCTACGAGAAACCGGGCTGGGGCTTTCCACATCTCTCCACCCATTTGAGTGAGCTGGATCTCGGTTTCCACAAACACCAAGGTGAACCTTGAAGGGCCTGGCTTTGTGTGGTAACACATCTACTGTCTACTGTACATGTCCATGAGGTCCATGAGTTGAGTTGCCGCGAAATTGCAAATCGGCACATCACCATTGGACAAATAACAATGTTAAGGTGATGCGTCCCAGCGACAACCCGCCCACGCCTGCTTAAGGCTTAAAACCGTGGCCTCGCAATCCCAAAAGACAAGAACGATACCAGATCGCCATCAGGATCCTTGAGGGCTTTGGAAAACGACGGGAGTGACCTACTGTCCTGTTACTGACCTGTCCACATCCACCCATATTATCTTTCCACAATGCAAGTGTCCCAGGCTGCCCTGCCGAACCCGCCGCCACAACCTGCCGGAAACTCAGGCAGCACACAGGGTCTTGCCAACCTGTGACAGGCTGCAATACTACGGCATTTGCTGAGGGAAAGACAAAAGAATCGAACAGATTGTTTAATGATATGTTTGATTCGTTATTGCAATTCAGAGAGAGGTCTCGGAATCATCCGCTTCGCCTGCAGAACACAAGGCCTCTCGTAGCACGAGAGCAGAGGTTCGGCGGTGCTTTGCGATCACTTTCCAAAGACGAATTTCTAGTCGAGATGGCAAGAGCTGTTTTGGTAACTCCAACTGTCCAACCTAGCAGTGTCATTGCGGTGGAGCCGCTGACCCAGTAGTTAAACTGCAGCTAAACCAAGCGGAATTGGAGACAAGCTCACCGCGAGTTAATTGTTTGAGACGACCACTGATGTTCATTTGCACTTTCATGTAGATGCATTTTCGACTGCCCCCTGCTGCCTCCTTCAGTCCAAGCAACAAGTACTTGCAATTGCTGCTGCAGTGACAGCCGTCACTTGCGAAGATGGCAACACCAGCGCTCTTCGTGGCCTTTGGCCAACGACGACTTGAAGTCCTTTGCGGTGCCGGTTTCGAGGCTGTTTGCCAGCAGGCAGAGGCTGCATTGTCTTTGCACCCGGAGTCCTATGAATTGTACGATCAATGTGGCAAAGTGGGCTCTGACAACTTCGATCGAGCTCTTGCCTCTTCACGTGGAGTGTGCTTGTTGGAGCTACGTGAGAAGCCCGAATGGAAAAAGATGCGCGAAATGGAGGTCCAGATCCAGAAACTTATGGAACGGACAAGCCCAGATGCGCTTCATGCCGCTCAGCTGCAGGCCAAGCAGATGGAAGAGAATGTGCTGAAGCATGTCGACCTCGCCATCGAGAAGCTGAAGGAAGAATTTGGTGAGAAATTGGATAAGACTACACTTTCAGATCTTTCAGACAGCAACTCGACGATGTCAAGACTTGCAAATTTGGAGACCGAACTTGCAGAGCTCGTGGTGAATAGCTCGGCAGATTTTGGGCACGTGGAGTCGGGATTGGTCACAGCGCAGAAAGAGCTGGAAAGCCTACGAGGCTTCACGGCCGATCAACTCCAAAGCATGGAGAAGCGCATGGAATCAATGGAATCCTTTCAGAAGTGCTGTGAGCATCAATTGACTCAAAGCTATGAGCTTCCAATGGTCCCAATGCCAGATGGAGTTGATCTCAAGGAGCTTGCTGAGAAGATTTTTGCCATCGAAACTGACCTCAATGAACATGCCATTACTGCCTCGGCGATGAATGGCCATTTGGAAAGTGCTGTAGCAACTGCGAAGCAGGAGCTTGAATCACTTCGAGCATGCATGTCCAACCAGCTCAAGTTCGTTGATGCCAGGATTGATGCTATGGAATCGGTGGAACAGGAATTTAAGCCATCCAGTGATGTAAAGCTGGGTGCAGCATGGTCAGACGGCTTCAAGTCTTATGACCTTCGTGGACTCACACCACTGGGGCCAAGCCCACCGCCCGGACCGGGCATGCTGGGAAAGATGGCGCATAGTCTTGCCAGTGCGCAAAGTGCACCATCCTTGAAGCGCTATGCCTTGCCAGTGTCCAAGTCTTTGCCACAGCTGCCACCCATTTCCTGAGCTCGTGGAATTTGCGCTTTGCTCTCTTCATCATTTTCATCCTCACCTGATGCGCCTGCCATTTTCGCTGTTTCCACCCCTTGTTTCAGATGGACTGACCTTGAAGACGCTTGGAAGAAAATACCGATTGGTGTAGCCGCCAAAAAAACCTTACAAGTGCATACAAGTGCCATGACCACTTGAAGAAGGATTTGACTAAACAAGTGTCACAGCGGCCCTTGGCCTCCCTGGCCTTGGATTCGATGCTTCAGGTGGGCCCTGAGGCTGCCACGGGTTCTTGGCCGTGCTTCAGCAGCAAGAAAACAAATACTAGAGCCATAAGTATATTAGAGCCATTTAGAGCCTTTGGGATCTTACTGCACGTTTGAGGCTATCAAATGGATCGCCATTTGTGCGGCACCGCCCTGCAAACATGTGGCTTGGCATGCTTGGCTTTCTCAAGAGTTGGGCAGACCGGATCGGCGGATGATGTGGAGGGGTGATGAAGAGGTTTATGTGTTGGGGGTCTTAGATGTGGCAGGAAACCCTCAAACCCATGAGGTTGAACCCTGGCATTTCACCGGCAGCCAAAGTGGCTAAAAGGTGGCTAAAGCTTTACCGGATCCATCTGTTTATAGTTGGTGGTCGGGGGTGGGATTCTGGATTCGTTGTGTGTTGGGTTTGCATGAGATGCACGAGCACAATCATGGCTTGTGCCCGCCGAGCAGTCAGGGTGTACATGCTCAATGGAGGAAAGGATGGAACAGGTATGAAAAGGTCTTCAAGCAAGTGCGGTGAAAAGGGGTGGTAGGAGCAAGGACGCTACTAGGGGCTCCTGGCCTTACTACTAGGAGC